TGTTTGTTTGTCTCAGGAAGTATTTGAAAAATTTTGATCATATTAACATTGAGTCCAGTGCTATTGCAAAGTCTCTTTTAGTGAAGAAAACCAATACAAATGTGGATTGTGTAAGGAGTCNTATTTCTTCTTTTTTGTTTTATTAATTACATATAATTCTCCATTGAATTCAAATTTTGTAATGTCTGTATTGTATTGTATTCATAATCATTTCAATTATAATATGGAACTATCAAAAGATGATACACATGTTTGCTGTTTGTAGAACATCTGCCTCTCAAAGGTCATACCATTCTGAAGATAAACTATATGAGTGCGGTTTTTGTGAGAAGAAATATGTAAATAATTATTACTGTCCTATGACTTCTCACACAGGTCGCATTCCTATAAGTTCTAAATCAACTCAAATATCACAATCATTTTACCAATGTAGAATTGTTTTATTTTAGAAACTCAATATTTTTAGTTTTGCACACCCAAATTATAATATTCCTATCAAAGGTTATGAATAAATATCATGTATTAAAAAACACTATGTTCACTTTTTTCATTTTTTTTATAAGACTGACATTTTCATTATATTAATGTTTCATAAAAACATTAAAATATTATGGTTATATTTTATATTAGACCATCTTTAGTAGATAAATGGCTTTTAATATTGAATATCTTATAATAGTAACTCAAGTGTATTTTGGTTTTAGGATGCATTGGCCAAGGATTTGTCATCTGTGGACCAAGTTTGATCTTATTTTGCTGTATCCTTATCTGAAGACAACCATAAGGAATGAAGTGTGTGGAGAAAGACATGTGTTATGAATATTCAATGTCTAAAATTATCTTTCACAAAACTCACCTTTATCTAGCTGCATATTGTTCAAATGGTGTTTCTCAATTTAAGAATTTTGAAAGGTTGTACATAATAAAAAACTGTTTAATGCACATTACTAATTCTTGTGTTTGTTTGTCTCAGGAAGTATTTGAAAAATTTTGATCATATTAACATTGAGTCCAGTGCTATTGCAAAGTCTCTTTTACTGAAGAAAACCAATACAAATGTGGATTGTGTAAGGAGTCATGTGTTGAGACTGTTCAAAGTGAAAATTGTTCTTCCACCCTACTCAAATGCTGTTCTTCAATTCAAAAATATTGAAGGTCAGACGTTATTATATATTTATTTTTACGAATATTATATTTAAGGTTTCTTTTAAGAAATAAATTACTAATCATCATTATTCATAATGATTAAATTATATCTAATAATTTTATATTTTATAATATATTTCTTCTTTTTTGTTTTATTAATTACATATAATTCTCCATTGAATTCAAATTTTGTAATGTCTGTATTGTATTGTATTCATAATCATTTCAATTATAATATGGAACTATCAAAAGATGATACACATGTTTGCTGTTTGTAGAACATCTGCCTCTCAAAGGTCATACCATTCTGAAGATAAACTATATGAGTGCGGTTTTTGTGAGAAGAAATATGTAAATAATTATTACTGTCCTATGACTTCTCACACAGGTCGCATTCCTATAAGTTCTAAATCAACTCAAATATCACAATCATTTTACCAATGTAGAATTGTTTTATTTTAGAAACTCAATATTTTTAGTTTTGCACACCCAAATTATAATATTCCTATCAAAGGTTATGAATAAATATCATGTATTAAAAAACACTATGTTCACTTTTTTCATTTTTTTTATAAGACTGACATTTTCATTATATTAATGTTTCATAAAAACATTAAAATATTATGGTTATATTTTATATTAGACCATCTTTAGTAGATAAATGGCTTTTAATATTGAATATCTTATAATAGTAACTCAAGTGTATTTTGGTTTTAGGATGCATTGGCCAAGGATTTGTCATCTGTGGACCAAGTTTGATCTTATTTTGCTGTATCCTTATCTGAAGACAACCATAAGGAATGAAGTGTGTGGAGAAAGACATGTGTTATGAATATTCAATGTCTAAAATTATCTTTCACAAAACTCACCTTTATCTAGCTGCATATTGTTCAAATGGTGTTTCTCAATTTAAGAATTTTTAAAGGTTGTACATAATAAAAAACTGTTTAATGCACATTACTAATTCTTGTGTTTGTTTGTCTCAGGAAGTATTTGAAAAATTTTGATCATATTAACATTGAGTCCAGTGCTATTGCAAAGTCTCTTTTACTGAAGAAAACCAATACAAATGTGGATTGTGTAAGGAGTCATGTGTTGAGACTGTTCAAAGTGAAAATTGTTCTTCCACCCTACTCAAATGCTGTTCTTCAATTCAAAAATATTGAAGGTCAGACGTTATTATATATTTATTTTTACGAATATTATATTTAAGGTTTCTTTTAAGAAATAAATTACTAATCATCATTATTCATAATGATTAAATTATATCTAATAATTTTATATTTTATAATATATTTCTTCTTTTTTGTTTTATTAATTACATATAATTCTCCATTGAATTCAAATTTTGTAATGTCTGTATTGTATTGTATTCATAATCATTTCAATTATAATATGGAACTATCAAAAGATGATACACATGTTTGCTGTTTGTAGAACATCTGCCTCTCAAAGGTCATACCATTCTGAAGATAAACTATATGAGTGCGGTTTTTGTGAGAAGAAATATGTAAATAATTATTACTGTCCTATGACTTCTCACACAGGTCGCATTCCTATAAGTTCTAAATCAACTCAAATATCACAATCATTTTACCAATGTAGAATTGTTTTATTTTAGAAACTCAATATTTTTAGTTTTGCACACCCAAATTATAATATTCCTATCAAAGGTTATGAATAAATATCATGTATTAAAAAACACTATGTTCACTTTTTTCATTTTTTTTATAAGACTGACATTTTCATTATATTAATGTTTCATAAAAACATTAAAATATTATGGTTATATTTTATATTAGACCATCTTTAGTAGATAAATGGCTTTTAATATTGAATATCTTATAATAGTAACTCAAGTGTATTTTGGTTTTAGGATGCATTGGCCAAGGATTTGTCATCTGTGGACCAAGTTTGATCTTATTTTGCTGTATCCTTATCTGAAGACAACCATAAGGAATGAAGTGTGTGGAGAAAGACATGTGTTATGAATATTCAATGTCTAAAATTATCTTTCACAAAACTCACCTTTATCTAGCTGCATATTGTTCAAATGGTGTTTCTCAATTTAAGAATTTTTAAAGGTTGTACATAATAAAAAACTGTTTAATGCACATTACTGATTCTTGTGTTTGTTTGTTTTAGGAAGTATTTGAAAAATGTTGATCATATTAACATTGAGTCCAGTGCTATTGCAAAGTCTCTTTTACTGAAGAAAACCAATACAAATGTGGATTGTGTAAGGAGTCATGTGTTGAGACTGTTCAAAGTGAAAATTGTTCTTCCACCCTACTCAAATGCTGTTCTTCAATTCAAAAATATTGAAGGTCAGACGTTATTATATATTTATTTTTACGAATATTATATTTAAGGTTTCTTTTAAGAAATAAATTACTAATCATCATTATTCATAATGATTAAATTATATCTAATAATTTTATATTTTATAATATATTTCTTCTTTTTTGTTTTATTAATTACATATAATTCTCCATTGAATTCAAATTTTGTAATGTCTGTATTGTATTGTATTCATAATCATTTCAATTATAATATGGAACTATCAAAAGATGATACACATGTTTGCTGTTTGTAGAACATCTGCCTCTCAAAGGTCATACCATTCTGAAGATAAACTATATGAGTGCGGTTTTTGTGAGAAGAAATATGTAAATAATTATTACTGTCCTATGACTTCTCACACAGGTCGCATTCCTATAAGTTCTAAATCAACTCAAATATCACAATCATTTTACCAATGTAGAATTGTTTTATTTTAGAAACTCAATATTTTTATCGTATAACTTCGTATAANTGATCTTATTTTGCTGTATCCTTATCTGAAGACAACCATAAGGAATGAAGTGTGTGGAGAAAGACATGTGTTATGAATATTCAATGTCTAAAATTATCTTTCACAAAACTCACCTTTATCTAGCTGCATATTGTTCAAATGGTGTTTCTCAATTTAAGAATTTTTAAAGGTTGTACATAATAAAAAACTGTTTAATGCACATTACTAATTCTTGTGTTTGTTTGTCTCAGGAAGTATTTGAAAAATTTTGATCATATTAACATTGAGTCCAGTGCTATTGCAAAGTCTCTTTTACTGAAGAAAACCAATACAAATGTGGATTGTGTAAGGAGTCATGTGTTGAGACTGTTCAAAGTGAAAATTGTTCTTCCACCCTACTCAAATGCTGTTCTTCAATTCAAAAATATTGAAGGTCAGACGTTATTATATATTTATTTTTACGAATATTATATTTAAGGTTTCTTTTAAGAAATAAATTACTAATCATCATTATTCATAATGATTAAATTATATCTAATAATTTTATATTTTATAATATATTTCTTCTTTTTTGTTTTATTAATTACATATAATTCTCCATTGAATTCAAATTTTGTAATGTCTGTATTGTATTGTATTCATAATCATTTCAATTATAATATGGAACTATCAAAAGATGATACACATGTTTGCTGTTTGTAGAACATCTGCCTCTCAAAGGTCATACCATTCTGAAGATAAACTATATGAGTGCGGTTTTTGTGAGAAGAAATATGTAAATAATTATTACTGTCCTATGACTTCTCACACAGGTCGCATTCCTATAAGTTCTAAATCAACTCAAATATCACAATCATTTTACCAATGTAGAATTGTTTTATTTTAGAAACTCAATATTTTTAGTTTTGCACACCCAAATTATAATATTCCTATCAAAGGTTATGAATAAATATCATGTATTAAAAAACACTATGTTCACTTTTTTCATTTTTTTTATAAGACTGACATTTTCATTATATTAATGTTTCATAAAAACATTAAAATATTATGGTTATATTTTATATTAGACCATCTTTAGTAGATAAATGGCTTTTAATATTGAATATCTTATAATAGTAACTCAAGTGTATTTTGGTTTTAGGATGCATTGGCCAAGGATTTGTCATCTGTGGACCAAGTTTGATCTTATTTTGCTGTATCCTTATCTGAAGACAACCATAAGGAATGAAGTGTGTGGAGAAAGACATGTGTTATGAATATTCAATGTCTAAAATTATCTTTCACAAAACTCACCTTTATCTAGCTGCATATTGTTCAAATGGTGTTTCTCAATTTAAGAATTTTTAAAGGTTGTACATAATAAAAAACTGTTTAATGCACATTACTAATTCTTGTGTTTGTTTGTCTCAGGAAGTATTTGAAAAATTTTGATCATATTAACATTGAGTCCAGTGCTATTGCAAAGTCTCTTTTACTGAAGAAAACCAATACAAATGTGGATTGTGTAAGGAGTCATGTGTTGAGACTGTTCAAAGTGAAAATTGTTCTTCCACCCTACTCAAATGCTGTTCTTCAATTCAAAAATATTGAAGGTCAGACGTTATTATATATTTATTTTTACGAATATTATATTTAAGGTTTCTTTTAAGAAATAAATTACTAATCATCATTATTCATAATGATTAAATTATATCTAATAATTTTATATTTTATAATATATTTCTTCTTTTTTGTTTTATTAATTACATATAATTCTCCATTGAATTCAAATTTTGTAATGTCTGTATTGTATTGTATTCATAATCATTTCAATTATAATATGGAACTATCAAAAGATGATACACATGTTTGCTGTTTGTAGAACATCTGCCTCTCAAAGGTCATACCATTCTGAAGATAAACTATATGAGTGCGGTTTTTGTGAGAAGAAATATGTAAATAATTATTACTGTCCTATGACTTCTCACACAGGTCGCATTCCTATAAGTTCTAAATCAACTCAAATATCACAATCATTTTACCAATGTAGAATTGTTTTATTTTAGAAACTCAATATTTTTAGTTTTGCACACCCAAATTATAATATTCCTATCAAAGGTTATGAATAAATATCATGTATTAAAAAACACTATGTTCACTTTTTTCATTTTTTTTATAAGACTGACATTTTCATTATATTAATGTTTCATAAAAACATTAAAATATTATGGTTATATTTTATATTAGACCATCTTTAGTAGATAAATGGCTTTTAATATTGAATATCTTATAATAGTAACTCAAGTGTATTTTGGTTTTAGGATGCATTGGCCAAGGATTTGTCATCTGTGGACCAAGTTTGATCTTATTTTGCTGTATCCTTATCTGAAGACAACCATAAGGAATGAAGTGTGTGGAGAAAGACATGTGTTATGAATATTCAATGTCTAAAATTATCTTTCACAAAACTCACCTTTATCTAGCTGCATATTGTTCAAATGGTGTTTCTCAATTTAAGAATTTTTAAAGGTTATACATAATAAAAAACTGTTTATTGCAAATTACTAATTCTTGTGTTTGTTTGTCTCAGGAAGTATTTGAAAAATTTTGATCATATTAACATTGAGTCCAGTGCTATTGCAAAGTCTCTTTTACTGAAAAAAACCAATACAAATGTGGATTGTGTAAGGAGTTATGTGTTGAGACTGTTCAAAGTGAAAATTGTTCTACCACCCTACTCAAATGCTGTTCTTCAATTCAAGAATATTGAAGGTCAGACGTTATTATATATTTATTTTTACGAATATTATTTTTAAGGTTTCTTTTAAGAAATAAATTACAAATCATCATTATTCATAATGATTAAATTATATCTAATAATTTTATATTTTATAATATATTTCTTCTTTTTTGTTTTATTAATTACATATAATTCTCCATTGAATTCAAATTTTGTAATGTCTGTATTGTACTGTATTCATAATCATTTCAATTATAATATGGAACTATCAAAAGATGATACACATGTTTGCTGTTTGTAGAACATCTGCCTCTCAAAGGTCATACCATTCTGAAGATAAACTATATGAGTGCGGTTTTTGTGAGAAGAAATATGTAAATAATTATTACTGTCCTATGACTTCCCACACAGGTCGCATTCCTATAAGTTCTAAATCAACTCAAATATCACAATCATTTTACCAATGTAGAATTGTTTTATTTTAGAAACTCAATATTTTTAGTTTTGCACACCCAAATTATAATATTCCTATCAAAGGTTATGAATAAATATCATGTATTAAAAAACACTATGTTCACTTTTTTCATTTTTTTTATAAGACTGACATTTTCATTATATTAATGTTTCATAAAAACATTAAAATATTATGGTTATATTTTATATTAGACCATCTTTAGTAGATAAATGGCTTTTAATATTGAATATCTTATAATAGTAACTCAAGTGTATTTTGGTTTTAGGATGCATTGGCCAAGGATTTGTCATCTGTGGACCAAGTTTGATCTTATTTTGCTGTATCCTTATCTGAAGACAACCATAAGGAATGAAGTGTGTGGAGAAAGACATGTGTTATGAATATTCAATGTCTAAAATTATCTTTCACAAAACTCACCTTTATCTAGCTGCATATTGTTCAAATGGTGTTTCTCAATTTAAGAATTTTTAAAGGTTGTACATAATAAAAAACTGTTTAATGCACATTACTAATTCTTGTGTTTGTTTGTCTCAGGAAGTATTTGAAAAATTTTGATCATATTAACATTGAGTCCAGTGCTATTGCAAAGTCTCTTTTACTGAAGAAAACCAATACAAATGTGGATTGTGTAAGGAGTCATGTGTTGAGACTGTTCAAAGTGAAAATTGTTCTTCCACCCTACTCAAATGCTGTTCTTCAATTCAAAAATATTGAAGGTCAGACGTTATTATATATTTATTTTTACGAATATTATATTTAAGGTTTCTTTTAAGAAATAAATTACTAATCATCATTATTCATAATGATTAAATTATATCTAATAATTTTATATTTTATAATATATTTCTTCTTTTTTGTTTTATTAATTACATATAATTCTCCATTGAATTCAAATTTTGTAATGTCTGTATTGTATTGTATTCATAATCATTTCAATTATAATATGGAACTATCAAAAGATGATACACATGTTTGCTGTTTGTAGAACATCTGCCTCTCAAAGGTCATACCATTCTGAAGATAAACTATATGAGTGCGGTTTTTGTGAGAAGAAATATGTAAATAATTATTACTGTCCTATGACTTCTCACACAGGTCGCATTCCTATAAGTTCTAAATCAACTCAAATATCACAATCATTTTACCAATGTAGAATTGTTTTATTTTAGAAACTCAATATTTTTAGTTTTGCACACCCAAATTATAATATTCCTATCAAAGGTTATGAATAAATATCATGTATTAAAAAACACTATGTTCACTTTTTTCATTTTTTTTATAAGACTGACATTTTCATTATATTAATGTTTCATAAAAACATTAAAATATTATGGTTATATTTTATATTAGACCATCTTTAGTAGATAAATGGCTTTTAATATTGAATATCTTATAATAGTAACTCAAGTGTATTTTGGTTTTAGGATGCATTGGCCAAGGATTTGTCATCTGTGGACCAAGTTTGATCTTATTTTGCTGTATCCTTATCTGAAGACAACCATAAGGAATGAAGTGTGTGGAGAAAGACATGTGTTATGAATATTCAATGTCTAAAATTATCTTTCACAAAACTCACCTTTATCTAGCTGCATATTGTTCAAATGGTGTTTCTCAATTTAAGAATTTTTAAAGGTTGTACATAATAAAAAACTGTTTAATGCACATTACTAATTCTTGTGTTTGTTTGTCTCAGGAAGTATTTGAAAAATTTTGATCATATTAACATTGAGTCCAGTGCTATTGCAAAGTCTCTTTTACTGAAGAAAACCAATACAAATGTGGATTGTGTAAGGAGTCATGTGTTGAGACTGTTCAAAGTGAAAATTGTTCTTCCACCCTACTCAAATGCTGTTCTTCAATTCAAAAATATTGAAGGTCAGACGTTATTATATATTTATTTTTACGAATATTATATTTAAGGTTTCTTTTAAGAAATAAATTACTAATCATCATTATTCATAATGATTAAATTATATCTAATAATTTTATATTTTATAATATATTTCTTCTTTTTTGTTTTATTAATTACATATAATTCTCCATTGAATTCAAATTTTGTAATGTCTGTATTGTATTGTATTCATAATCATTTCAATTATAATATGGAACTATCAAAAGATGATACACATGTTTGCTGTTTGTAGAACATCTGCCTCTCAAAGGTCATACCATTCTGAAGATAAACTATATGAGTGCGGTTTTTGTGAGAAGAAATATGTAAATAATTATTACTGTCCTATGACTTCTCACACAGGTCGCATTCCTATAAGTTCTAAATCAACTCAAATATCACAATCATTTTACCAATGTAGAATTGTTTTATTTTAGAAACTCAATATTTTTAGTTTTGCACACCCAAATTATAATATTCCTATCAAAGGTTATGAATAAATATCATGTATTAAAAAACACTATGTTCACTTTTTTCATTTTTTTTATAAGACTGACATTTTCATTATATTAATGTTTCATAAAAACATTAAAATATTATGGTTATATTTTATATTAGACCATCTTTAGTAGATAAATGGCTTTTAATATTGAATATCTTATAATAGTAACTCAAGTGTATTTTGGTTTTAGGATGCATTGGCCAAGGATTTGTCATCTGTGGACCAAGTTTGATCTTATTTTGCTGTATCCTTATCTGAAGACAACCATAAGGAATGAAGTGTGTGGAGAAAGACATGTGTTATGAATATTCAATGTCTAAAATTATCTTTCACAAAACTCACCTTTATCTAGCTGCATATTGTTCAAATGGTGTTTCTCAATTTAAGAATTTTTAAAGGTTGTACATAATAAAAAACTGTTTAATGCACATTACTAATTCTTGTGTTTGTTTGTCTCAGGAAGTATTTGAAAAATTTTGATCATATTAACATTGAGTCCAGTGCTATTGCAAAGTCTCTTTTACTGAAGAAAACCAATACAAATGTGGATTGTGTAAGGAGTCATGTGTTGAGACTGTTCAAAGTGAAAATTGTTCTTCCACCCTACTCAAATGCTGTTCTTCAATTCAAAAATATTGAAGGTCAGACGTTATTATATATTTATTTTTACGAATATTATATTTAAGGTTTCTTTTAAGAAATAAATTACTAATCATCATTATTCATAATGATTAAATTATATCTAATAATTTTATATTTTATAATATATTTCTTCTTTTTTGTTTTATTAATTACATATAATTCTCCATTGAATTCAAATTTTGTAATGTCTGTATTGTATTGTATTCATAATCATTTCAATTATAATATGGAACTATCAAAAGATGATACACATGTTTGCTGTTTGTAGAACATCTGCCTCTCAAAGGTCATACCATTCTGAAGATAAACTATATGAGTGCGGTTTTTGTGAGAAGAAATATGTAAATAATTATTACTGTCCTATGACTTCTCACACAGGTCGCATTCCTATAAGTTCTAAATCAACTCAAATATCACAATCATTTTACCAATGTAGAATTGTTTTATTTTAGAAACTCAATATTTTTAGTTTTGCACACCCAAATTATAATATTCCTATCAAAGGTTATGAATAAATATCATGTATTAAAAAACACTATGTTCACTTTTTTCATTTTTTTTATAAGACTGACATTTTCATTATATTAATGTTTCATAAAAACATTAAAATATTATGGTTATATTTTATATTAGACCATCTTTAGTAGATAAATGGCTTTTAATATTGAATATCTTATAATAGTAACTCAAGTGTATTTTGGTTTTAGGATGCATTGGCCAAGGATTTGTCATCTGTGGACCAAGTTTGATCTTATTTTGCTGTATCCTTATCTGAAGACAACCATAAGGAATGAAGTGTGTGGAGAAAGACATGTGTTATGAATATTCAATGTCTAAAATTATCTTTCACAAAACTCACCTTTATCTAGCTGCATATTGTTCAAATGGTGTTTCTCAATTTAAGAATTTTTAAAGGTTGTACATAATAAAAAACTGTTTAATGCACATTACTAATTCTTGTGTTTGTTTGTCTCAGGAAGTATTTGAAAAATTTTGATCATATTAACATTGAGTCCAGTGCTATTGCAAAGTCTCTTTTACTGAAGAAAACCAATACAAATGTGGATTGTGTAAGGAGTCATGTGTTGAGACTGTTCAAAGTGAAAATTGTTCTTCCACCCTACTCAAATGCTGTTCTTCAATTCAAAAATATTGAAGGTCAGACGTTATTATATATTTATTTTTACGAATATTATATTTAAGGTTTCTTTTAAGAAATAAATTACTAATCATCATTATTCATAATGATTAAATTATATCTAATAATTTTATATTTTATAATATATTTCTTCTTTTTTGTTTTATTAATTACATATAATTCTCCATTGAATTCAAATTTTGTAATGTCTGTATTGTATTGTATTCATAATCATTTCAATTATAATATGGAACTATCAAAAGATGATACACATGTTTGCTGTTTGTAGAACATCTGCCTCTCAAAGGTCATACCATTCTGAAGATAAACTATATGAGTGCGGTTTTTGTGAGAAGATATTTGTAAATAATTATTACTGTCCTATGACTTCTCACACAGATCGCATTCCTATAAGTTCTAAATCAACTCAAATATCACAATCATTTTACCAATGTAGAATTGTTTTATTTTAGAAACTCAATATTTTTAGTTTTGCACACCCAAATTATAATATTCCTATCAAAGGTTATGAATAAATATCATGTATTAAAAAACACTATGTTCACTTTTTTCATTTTTTTTATAAGACTGACATTTTCATTATATTAATGTTTCATAAAAACATTAAAATATTATGGTTATATTTTATATTAGACCATCTTTAGTAGATAAATGGCTTTTAATATTGAATATCTTATAATAGTAACTCAAATATATTTTGGTTTTAGGATGCATTGGCCAAGGATTTGTCACCTGTGGACCAAGTTTGATCTTATTTTGCTGTATCCTTATCTGAAGACAACCATAACCAATGAAGTGTGTGGAGAAAGACATGTGTTATGAATATTCAATGTCTAAAATTATCTTTCACAAAACTCACCTTTATCTAGCTGCATATTGTTCTTATGGTGTTTCTCAATTTAAGAATTTTTAAAAGTTGTACATAATATAAAAAACTGTTTAATGCACATTACTAATTCTTGTGTTTGTTTTTCTCAGGAAGTATTTGAAAAATTTTGATCATATTAACATTGAGTCCAGTGCTATTGCAAAGTCTCTTTTACTGAAGAAAACCAATACAAATGTGGATTGTGTAAGGAGTCCTGTGTTGAGACTGTTCAAAGTGAAAATTGTTCTTCTACCCTAATCAAATGCTGTTCTTCGATTCAAAAATATTGAAGGTCAGACGTTATTATATATTTATTTTTACGAATATTATATTTAAGGTTTCTTTTAAGAAATAAATTACTAATCATC